TGAAACCCTGTTTCAAAAAAAAAGAAAAGAGAGAGAAAGCTAGACAAAAACTCAGAAAGGATACAATACAGAACTCAAAAAACAGTTTTAGGACCAGCAAGACAATTCAGTGGGTAAAGGAGCTTGATGGTATAAACTTAGCCATGTAAGTAACACACATATACATATAATACAACTGGCATTTGTGGTTCAATATGTTTTGAAGCACAGCTGGGACAGACACACTGGGAAACAAAGAGATGCAAAATTGGAGTTCAGTCTTGGCCATATAGTGAGATTTTTGTCCCAAACAAAAAATCCAGCATAAAATACATAATAAACCTAAATACATAAATGAACAATGTAACTAAGACTACACACACATTTGACAACCTAGATAAAACTATTAATTTCTATAAACACTTTCTACTGACACTGACTCTCACACTAAAAACTGTGTAAAAACACCTACCCAGAAAAAGCCTAGGACCTCAGACTGTCGGCTCCATTGGTGAGTTCTACTATATCATTTAACAAAGAATTAGCAGTAATTTTTCTCAAACTTTCTTTCATAACTGGAAAGGACATATTTCTAAACTTCTCCATTAGGTCATCATTACCTTGAGACCACAACTTCACAGTTCATCAACACCCCAAGGCTTGCAGCATGCTCAGTGGCAGAAAACAAGGGGAGGGATGCCCACTTTTACTCAACACAGAATTGACTTTCCAGTCAGAACTAGACAAGGAAAAGAAACAAAAAGCCTACAGAGTGCAATGGGAGCAGTAACATTTTGTCTGTCTTCAGATGACTTTGTTTCAAAAATCATAAGGAACCCATAGAAAATTATCAGCATTAACAAATGAATGCTCAGCATGCAGTGGGGAGAATGCCCTGTTTATAGAAATGTGAAGTCGTCCAGTCAGCATGGAACACAGTTTGGCAGGTCTACAAAAAGACAAATATAGGATTGACACATGATCCAGCAAGGAAGTAAAAGCAGATACTTGTATGCTAGTGTTCATGATAGCATCATTCACAGCAGCCAAAGGGTGGCACTAACCCACATCTATTTACAGACATGCAGGGATGAATAGAATGCCTGCATGCATGCGATGGAATATTACTTGGCCATAAAAAAGAATGACGTTCTTATACGTGTTACAACATGAACCCTCAAAACACTATGCTGAGAAAAAGAACCTAGATGCCAGACACAGGCCTGATTTTATCATGTGAAATGCCTAGACAAGGCTGACAGGAAGGAGTTGGGGATATGGAAGAAAGACAGTTCCTGCTTACCATATTTATAGTATCTTAATTTGGGGTCCTGAAAAGTTTTGAAAATATTTCACAGTGGTGGTGAATGCAGAATACTATGAATATTCATCTACTTTTGAGATGTGGTCTTGCTGTGTGACCCTGGCTGGCTTAGAACTCAGTATGTAGACCAGACTGTTCATAAACTTGTATTGATCTTCCTACCTGTGCATCCCAAGTGCCAGGATTCTTGGAGTGTGCCCTGGCTCAATATTGTAAATTGAGTTAATTAATGACAGAGTTGTTGCCTAAAGAACAGATGAAACATTGAGCACTGCTGGATGTTACACTACAGATCTGACTGGGGTTCTGGGATTCGCATTCAGGGCCTTCCTAATGCTAGGCAGGTGCTTTACCATGGAGTTACATCCCAGCTCTGTATCACAATTTTTCGTTTTCATTTCATGCCATAATTAAAGAACGAAACAACCTGTGAATGATAAGGGCTTATTTCTATGATGGGGTGTTTGCCTAGTGCACACAAAGCCCTAGGTTCAATCCCAAGCACTGAAAAGAAACAAACAAAAAACAAAAACAATATACCAAAGGTCATGACACTAAAACAGGTGAACTGCATGCTTTATGAGTTCTATCTCAATGAAGCCGTTATTTCCTCTAAGGCCTCCACATTCTGAGGAAAAGGAAGACAGGTAAAATGTCATTTGAGAAATATGCTTACTACATGAAGACACATCGAGCAGAGGCCTCACACAGTAAGCAAATCAACATCAAGACCACAGAGTACAAGGCAGGCTGCATAGAGACAATCACTTATCGAATGGCACTTTTCACCATCACAGACCCATGTGGGAGGCAGAGCCCTCATCTCTAGAAAAGGAAATATCCCTAGTGGTCATGACCTATACGGGGTCATGGATGCAAGTGGCAGGGCAAGCTGGAATGGGATCTGACCCCTTACCCACACCACCTCACCACAGCTAGCTGAGTCAGCAGTGCCAAACACGGGAGCTCTTTATGATCATGAATGAGGATAGGCTCTTCAACAGACCCAGCATGCAAATTCTGGGGGAAATGGAAGGGCTGGCCGCACTTAAAAATAAGGATTTGGGTTGACTGAAGGATGCCCTTTCCCAAGGCAGAGATAATATGTGGCAATGGGCAGGAAAACCAAAGATGCTATAGGAGGACTCGGTGCTTCAGTAGCCAAGAGGGTTAGGGAACGAATTAGTTCAGAGAGCCAAAACCTAAATCTGTCAGGAGTCCTATACGGGCCTGAGCGCATGCAGGGGATGACAGAACAGGAGGCCCTGACTGGAGACCAGAGAATGGGAAGCCGAGCAGCAGGTTCGGCAGGGAGGTGAAAGAAGCTGGGATACATGCCCATGCAGGCAAGTGTGTGTGCGTGCACACACATACACACACTTTTTCTCTCTCTCTCCTCCTTCTTCCTCTCTCTCCACATACACATGTACATACATACAAATTAAAGGATGGTGCCCAAAGGCACATGCACACACCTACCCCAAAAGCACACGTAAGCATATGTAGAGAACAGGTTCACTAGCTATGTGCCCTGGGGCATGTGCACACAGAATTCTCACAACCCAAGGAGATACATGGTGAGGCAAAGCTGGTATGACATCCATCAAGTGATCAAAGTGTGCCCTAGGTCACAACCACAAATGAGAGGAAGTGACACAGTGCCACACTCGCCACTTTCTACTATAGTTCGAGCCTGACCATGACAGTGAGAGGCAGGCTACAAAACAGTCACCAGCCTGCAGTTACCAGTCTGTCCTCAAGTCCGGGAGAGTTTGCCTGCCAGCTGGCAGAGGCCACCCTTTGAGTGGTAAGACCTGGAGCAGCCCTGTGGCCCCCAGAAAGGGAAGGAGCAGAAGCTCACTCCCAGCCTAAATTATTCAAAAGGAAAGGGAACGCGCCTCTTTAACAAGCCTTGGCTTTATGAAGCAAGGTTAACAGTTTCACTTGATTCAGTGGAATATTATAAACTCTCTAGGGCCCATTTGAGGACTTCTACTTCAGGCGCAAGGTGACGACTCAGCACTTTTTATATTATTTAGAGAATAAAATTAACCCTCACAGGCCCAGACTGCTGCCTCCCCTCCCGCTGGATCTGGCCTGCTCAGCGCTTTCCCCCATATATAATTACAAGCTGCTATCCATCATGCAGCAGGGACGCAGCGCTGACACGCAGAAAGGGACGCAGTAAGCACTTCCACTAATAGAAGCAGGACTTAAATATCGCTCTGATATCTTCATTTAAATTGGAATATTTTACAATAATCAGCTGCAGCCTCCATGGGGTCCTGCCTCTCACCTGGGCCAGCACCTAATAGTGCCCCTGCCAGAGCCTGTCAGTCCCCACCTCCCGGAAGGGCTTCCTTGCCAGGGAATGGTGCCCTTCAAGGTGACCTGACAGCTCCTGTCACACTCACACTCCTGTCAGTAGCAATACAGAAGCATCACTGGGCTTAGGGAAGTCACTGCTTGTGTCCTCCCTGAAAGGGAGTCTCAGCCACAGCATAGAAGACAGAAAGCACCAAAGAGCTCAAGCAACTTTAGAGGGCTATGCCCAGGTAGGATAGGGCTCACACACTACTTCTGGTGCCTCTGTGATTTGAAGCTCATAAGAGAGGGCGAGCCTGTCACATGGGCCTTAAGAGTTAGTGGGATAGGGGCTGGTCTTGCACTCACATAGCCCACACTGCCTGTTGGCCCTGGTTTCACTTCACTGGCAAGGCTGGGAATGAGGGTGGGACCCACACACAGGAAAGATAGCAAAGGGGCTTTCTACAGTTATGTGGAAATGAGTTATGTGTCATGGCTCTACTTTAGGATACCAGGGACCCTCTTCAAGAGTTCCTAGCCATGCTCAGGCCCATCTTAGGCATCTCAGAGCCCCAGTATGAGCTCAGGTATGAGAAGCTTGGAGAAGAGGGCTGGGCCCCTAGGGCTCCTGTAGCTGTGCAGTTGGTAAGAGCATGCTGGCGTAGCTATGGGGAGTTTCCCATAAGGGAAAACAAGTAGGACTGAGCTGCCTGGGCAGTCAAGTAAGTAATCTGGGACATCTAGAAGGAGACAGCATGCCAGTTACCCAGGGATATTGTAGCAGCCCTCCTGCCCATTTCCTAACCCTTAACTTGGCATTGGGTACCTCCAATGGGCAATGGGATCTAGCCCTAACTCACCCTTACCAGCTGCCCTCTACCAGAGGTGAGATGGTATGTGTGTGTTATATATAATATATAATATATATATATATATATATATATATATATTATATATTATATATATATAATGCATATATGTATGTATGTGTAGATATACACACATTTATATGCATGTACCCAACACGCCAGGAAAGCAGGCAGCCACACAGCCACTTCAGTCCTGTAGAGTTTCCAACCTCTAACATCTCTTTCAGTCACCACTGGCCATAATCACCAGCAGTCTCCTTATGTTTTGCTGTCTCAGCCACTACGTCCCTTCCATAATTAGGGTGGGCTCTACTATAAAACCCTGGATGCCCCTGCATGAGGACCTGGGATGCTACCTGGCCTTGTGGGACCCTGGGCAAGTTGCTATAGCTCTGAGTCATCTGTGAGCTGGTTGGAATTATAGTTACCGCCTCCAAGCTGTGTAAGGCGACAGAAGCCAGTGTAGTAAGTACTGAAGACTGTACAGCAATCTGTCCTACGCCCACCTGCAGCCCCCTCACCTTTGCACCCAGCGGGCAATAGCCTTTAAGGAAGTCGCTGCAGACTTCAGCCTTGCGGGACACATACACGTGGCTGTAGGGGCAGTTGCTGTTGCTGCAGATCCCCTTCAGGAAGTAGGAGCACACCGGCATCTGTGGGGAGGAGAGGAGAGACGGGTGAGGACCCGAAGGCTAATGCCCTTGCACTATACCTACTGTACAGGCAAAAAAATACCAGGACTTGCAGGCCCTTGAGAGGGCCCCACAGCTGGACAACAGCCACCCAGATCCTGCCTGGAGACCATCAGCATGGCCCTCCTGTGGGAGAAATGAACACAGAACTGGGTGTAATGGCACATCTTTAATCACAACACTTGCGAGGCAGAGAAAGGTGAATCTCTATGAGTTCCAGGCTAGCTTGGTTTACATAGTAAATTCTAGGCTAGCCTGGGCTTCACAGTGAAATTCCAGGGGAAAAAGCAAAAACTCCACAAGAAATGAACACACAGGCCAGCCAGCAGCAGCAGGGGGCCTGGGAGCCACCTTCCCATCAGAACCCCACTTTCCTTATCTGTTGTAACTCTGCCCAAATGAAGACATGGAAGTAAGCGGTCTGCAGCAGTGGCTTTTCCCTAGGTGTGCTATTCTCTCCATGTGAACACAGTAAACATGGCCTGATGTATCCTGGGAGCCCTGGGACATGGGTCTACTATCTATGTGGGGCAGTCTTGGAGTTGGACACCCAGTGAACCAGGCCAGGCACTGGCCACATGGTAGTACTAAAACCTGGCCTGATAGTAGGTTGGGTCCTGGAGCAGGCAGTCTGGACGTACCCTGGCAGCTGTGTGTGGACAGGCCTGGGCAAGTAACTCAGCCCAGGAGCTAGATATACCTATTCCTTTCTCAACAGAGAGACCCATGGGCCCTGTCGACTGTTGGCTACAGTTCCTACTTGTTACCACCATATGGGCCTAGAGAGGGAAGGACAACCACCAAATGGGCAAAACCTACACAGACCAGGTTTGAGAGCACCCCGGGAAGAGGCTACCTCTGACCTTTGTTCCTTCTCTTCTTGTGGGGCTGCCACCAGTCCTTCCTGGACTGTTTGGAGAAGAGGCATTGCCACTATGGTGGCCCAGCACATCCTCCTCAGCCCCAGGCAGTCACTCCTATCTCACACTGCACATCTCAGCCTGTTGACAGATGTCCCACACTTGGACTAGCAGTGGGTCTGAGGAGTACTTTCCTGTCCCAAGGATCCCATGGGCTTTCAAAAGTCACTTTTCTGGAGCAAGGTGGGAGAGGGTAATGCAGGAACCTATGGAAGGCCAGGGAGGAAGAGGCCAGGGCAGCAGCCCTGGAGTAGAGAGAGGAGGGGAAATCGAAGAAACAAAGGGTGATTTACTGAGCAAGAGTTTATTTTTAATTGTCTTTTAACTGCAGCCATGGAGGGGAGAGGGGCTGGGGGGCCCCGTTTGGGCTGGCGGTGGAGAAGCTGTAGACAATTCCCTTAATGTGGTTTTTGATATAGAGCCCAAATTAGCTCTAATAAAAAGGGATAATAAAGCCAACTCTTGCACCAAACAGAGCTCCTCCTGGCTGTCAGAGCGGGGCCGTTACCAAGAGGAAACTGCATTCTCATTTCAATTAACCTTGTTTGCACCCCGCCACGTCCACACAAATAACAATAACATTAATTCAGGGCGCTGGTGCGGCCCACACATTAGACAGCTTGGAGTGCGCACGGGCTTTGGAGCTGGCGCTTAATGAACCTGAAACTCGACGTGAATTTCCAAATTGCTCACGACAGAGTTTCGAAGCTCGATTAGGGAGAAAAATGCTGATTCTCTCCAAGCTTCTCAAGGGGAAAAGCTGTCGGAGCAGCAGCAGACCTCACCCACCCGCCTCCTCTGCACTGCGGCCCGGGCCCCAGGCCCTTCCTCACACTCACGGCATCTTTTCAGAGGTCAGTGGGTATAAGTAAGGTCAAGTGGTCTGTGGCCCCCAGACCACCCCCTGACGGCAGTGCTCTCAGGCCTTCCAGGCTGAGACACACCTGGTCATTGCAATCTTGCCTGTGCTGCCATGACTCTTTTGACTACTCCTCCATCCATGGCAGAACTGGGACATGAGGCAGATGAGACCATGGCCCTATGCTCTAGGAGCATCTATCAGGTTTACCTCCCCTGTACCTGCAGTGAAGGTGAGAAGGAGCTTGACATTATTGTAGGACCTGGGATAATGGTAACGGGAGAAAGGAGACTCTGTATATGGTATGCTGGGACCCCAGGTCTGGTGCTGCTTCCAGCTGGAGGAAGGAGCAGCACAAAACAGCCAGGACATGGGAGTGAAGGGGAGATCTGGAGGAGTACCTGAGCCTGTCGACACTGGAGGCAGGAGCTACTAACTCAAGACCAAGGAAAACTACACAGTACAGTCTGCCTGGAGGCTGGGTGGTACCCAGGAATGTCCGGAAGAGAGGGCCCGCTGACCACTCAACACTCACCTTTTCCTTGGATACATGGTGAGAGAAAGGGCAGGACCCATCTGTCTTCTTGCATGTGCCTCGGACAAATCTGCAGCATGGGATAGGAAGGTTTGGGGAGGGCTGGTGCCAGGTTCTGTCACAACCCCCCCAAGTTGTAAGTAAGGCAGGGCAGGGCACCTGGTGCACACGGCCACCTTCTCAGGGTCATGGATGTAAGGGCAGCGTTCACCACGGTTACACTTGCCAAAGCGGTTGTAATACATGCAGTACTCTCTCTTCTTCTCTTTCTTCTGCTTTGCCTGTCGGATGATAGCCAGGCTTCGCTGGACAGCCCGGCTATACACAGGGAGAGGTTTGTGAGCCCATGAGTGAGCAGGGAAGCCCCTACCTTCCCAGCCTCAAGGGACGCACCTGGCCAAGGAACGACTACTGCTGGTGGATGGGTCCAGTCGTCCTATGGGGGAAAGGAACAGGTTACATCAGGCCACAGCCCAACTGTAACCCTTATCTATCCTTGCCTGACTAGCTCACACCTTCTTCCTGCCAACCCATCTTGGCAAGCCCCCTTGAGCCTCCCAGCACTTAGCTCAAGCATAGATGCTCCTAGGAGCCCTTCCCTCTGGGGACACAGCATCAAGAATGGGGCCCTGCTGGGCCCTGTGCATGAGTTATGTCAAGGGTGGGCAGCCTTGGATCCAGCATGCCAGACACAAGGACTAGAACAGCCTGCCAGACCCTGATGTCTCCAAGCAGCTAGGCTCCCTAAGATCAACTTGGTGCTTACTGGTTCCCTACTAGCTTCCCAGCTTCCTACTCCCTCTCAGTGCCCATGGGGCTCATGGGGCAGGTTCTTGGGAAGAGGTTGCGACTGGCCCATGGACATGTTTCTAAGATTCATCCTTGGCCTGGCTACCAAGGAGACCATCATGCAAATGGCAAAGGCTAATGGCATCTCACTTTGTAGAGCCTAGGGAGAAAACAGAAGGGCTGCTTATGCCATGGTAGAAAATATGGGCCTGGCTGTATAGGAGAAAAATAGTTTAAAGAATTGATGGGATTGATGGGAAGGAAGGAAGAAAGGACGGAAGGAAAGAAGGAAGGAAGGGAGGGAGGAGGGAGGGAGGGAGGGAGGAAGGAAGGAAGGGAGAGAAAGAGAGGAGAGGTGAGAAAGAAAGGAGGAGGGGAAGGGGAGGTTAGGAGAGAAAGAAGGAAGAGAGAGGGAGGAAAGAAGGAGAGGAGGGAAAGAGAAGGATGGGGAAAAGGGGAAGACATGGCAAATAAGAAAGAGGAAGGGAAGAAGGGGAAGGGTGAAGGAGAGGAAGAAGGAAGGGAAGAGGGGAGCAAAAGAGGAAGGATGGAAGGAAGGGGAGGAAGAGGGGAAGGATAAGATGAGAAAAAGAAGGGAACAGGGAGAAGAGAAAGAGGAAAAGAAGGGAAGGGGTAAGGGAAAAAGAGGGAGAGGAAGGAGAAGAGGGGAAAAGGAGAGGGAAGGAAGAATTGTGTTGGTACTGCTAGAAATTTGACCTGCAGCTCTCTGTACACTGGAAAGGTGTCTGGGTTCAATTGGAGTGTGTTACTTAAAAGTTGGAAGCCTCCCTTTTATAGCCTTCAAACTCCCAAACATCAAGACCCAATTAGCCTTTCTAAGGTGACCATGTGGCATGAAGAAGACAATGGGATGGGAACGGGATCCCTGAGAACTTCAAAGTAGCTATGTGGGGGGAAACCCGGGCTCACCACAGCTTTGCCTGCCTTTTAAAGACACAGACCAACCCCAGGATCACAGGGCAGGCAGGGCAGGACCTGCTCAGGATGGCTTCCCCTGGTTCCTCAAATACGCACATGACCATTCCCAGACCAGATCCAATTTCCTACAGAGCAGCTGCTGAAATGAATACAGCACTAAGAGGCACAAGTGACATCACTCAGAAATTCTGAGGACCTGAGGCGATGACAAAGCCATCTAGGTTTTAAAAGGGGATGTTCTAAAGTGCCTGAACCCACGTAACCAGGCCCTGCTCCTCCATCAGAACACTTGTGATCTGCTCCAGAGCAGCATCCCTCACTCTACCCCAGACCCACTGTAGCCCTTCACAGCTCATTAGATGAAAACTCAGACCATCTCCCCTGGGCACCTTGTAAGCTACTTGGTTCCCAGTGTTCCCCACACACTTCTAACGTCCTCCCTAGGCAGGGGTGGGTGGTATATTGTACCTTAGGTACTTTGGGTCCAAGATAAGACCAAGCCTGCTAGGAAAAATCCTGTCTGCTGCTTGGAAGTACCTGAGGTATCTGCTAAATGAGCTAGCTGTGAGGCTGGACATTACCCTCCTGGAGTTCTGTAGGACTCTCTGGCAAGAGGCTGTTCCACACTTAACCTCAGTGCCCTTGAGTTTTTAAAGGGCATCCACAGGGTCCCAGTGGGAAGCAGAGGCTCTATTGCATAACTATATAGGCTCAGGCAGTTAGGGCATAGACGAGGACCTCAAGAGGGAGACAGGGAGTTGAGGGCACAAGAAAGACTGCAGGGTCCGAGCAGGAAGCAACAAGGGGAAAGGAAGGGTGGCAAGGCTTTCAGAGCGTGGAGAAGCAAAGAATTTAGGGTGGCCTCTATCTCCAGTGGAGGACACCTGTCCTTAGGGTGGCAGTGGAGTGCTGTCCAGGTGGCACAGACACACACTCACACCTGCCAGTCTTCGTAACCAATGACGTGCAATGTGATAGTCTGTCAATGAGCACTGGTTCTCGGGCTGTCACCCAGCCTGCTGGTGACACTAGCACCATCTGCTCCCAGCCAGGGACACGCGGGCATCACGTGCCACCTGTCAGGACCTGGTAGGGAGTAGCTTTCTCATCTTTCCACTTTCTGCTTTTAAAAACACATCAGCATGGGGCTCACGGTGGGAGTTTTGACAAGGATGGGAGGCACCTTTCCAAATGCTTTGCAGTGTTAAAAATGCACATAAAGTAGCTGGCTTGAAAAGAAGCAACCAAAGGTGCAAAGAGCTCAACGGCACAGCCCTGACCTGGGAGCACAAGGTGCTGCTTCTGCTGTGCACTCTGGAGCACCTTCACTTCCTGGAGCTTCCCAAAATAAGTACTGCCTCCCGCCAGTTCTACCCTTGTGTAGTGCCCTGCCTGTTCCCTGGTCCTCAAAGGGAGCTCATCTTTCCAAGAGGTCAAAGACTCTCAGCACTTGGCTATCGCTCTGGCAGAGCCCACAGGCAAACAAGGGGTCAAGCTCAGGTATCTGTCCCCAGTTCCACTGGAGAGATGACTGGCTGCTCCCAGGAGGTTAGAGCAAGGTCCTCCTAAAGCCCAGGTCTACTTAGATGAAAACCTGCCAGGTCCAGGCAGGGCACATTCAGACATCTAGAGCTACAGTCCTGAAAAGAAAACCAAAATGGCAGAGGAAGTACCAGTGAGGAAAAGCAATTAATAGATTCTCCATGAGCTGGCAGCTCTGCACCCCTGGAGTGCAGCTGACAAGACTTCCTTGCATGCCCCTCTATGTGATCTTCTAGCACCCAGGGAGGGAAGGCAGGGCACAAATAATTAGCTGCAGAGGGTGGTGCACACCTTTAGTCCCAGTGCTCAGGAGGCAGGGACAGGTAGATCTCTGTGAGGCCAGCATGGTCTACATAGTAAATTTCAGGACCCCCAGATCTACCTAACAGAAGGACCGTATCTCAAAAAACAAAGAAAAGAGAAAGAGACCTCACTTGCCCAGCAACATGCAGGTACTAGTCAGCAGCAGAAAATACAGATCACACCTGCCTCTCTTTGACCTGGGGACCCTGGAGTTCCTCAAGAAGCCAGGGCAAGCCCTGTAGTCTGAGACTGGACTTCTATTCCTCACTGAAGGGACTAACAGGCTCTTTGTGCCCTCAGCAGGTCCAGCCAACCAAGGACACAGGTCCCAGGCCAAATTTCAAGGCAAGGGTGCAGGAACTGAGACATTTGAATAGCAGGTATACCTAGGAGGGTGAGCTGAACTTACGAAAACCACAAAGCCATGGCTAATGCTGACTCAGTCCTTAAGGGCCTGGAGGGGTGGCCAGGAGAGGCGTTAGCGCCCCATTCCTCCTGTGAAGGGTTGTACTTTCTTGTTGAAGTCAAGGGTTTGCTGACACTAGGGAAGGAAATTTATTTCTTTAATTATGGCTACTGTAAGTGGGCCAGTCAGCGGTAGTGCACAGTTGGGAGCAATATACCTTCTTCACTGTGGGGTGGGGGTCAGATGGGGGGTATCCGGGCAGCAGGTGCTATCCAGCTCATGGATCATCTCCCCTGGCTCAGAAGAAAGGGTGTAGTTTTGCCAGGCTGTCTTCCTCAACATACTTCTCATCCCATCCCAAGAAGGGAAAAGCTAAGCCCCAGAAAGGCCCCAGAGTGGTGCCAAGGCTTAGGCACGTAGGTCAGGGACAATGACAGTCCTGACTGGCAGCAGGTTGAGGCCTTGGCAAGAGCAGGAACAGGAGTAGAGATTAGTGGTAGAAAGGTCCCTTGGACTCCCACCTGTTCTCATCACATGATCCCTTAGATAATTGGCTGAATGGAGGCAGGCTCTGAGTAGCTACTAGGGCACTGGGGAACAAGGTTCCAAGAGCTTTGGGAACAGAGAGTCCTTCTTAGTTGGGTCTACAACAAAGAAAGGAGGCAAAAAGGCCAGGCCTGGGGAACTGTTCACAGCACAATGATGTGAAAGCCCTGAGTGTGGGAGTTAGGAAGGCAGAGTCTATGGAACTCAGCACTTGGCCCTGGGACACAGGAGCAGACACAGCTTCCCAGTGAAAAGTCACAGGGAAGCAGCCCAGCCCTCGTCATAGCTTAGAACCCACCATCTCCAAGTGAGGGACATTTGACTATGCAAGGCCAAATACAACACTGCCACCTGCCCTCCAGAAATTACACCTCTCATCTCCACCTCCTTGAGACATGAGCAATGAAAAAAGCTCAGGTGGCTGGTGTAGCCCCATGCCCTAAGCCCATCCGGCCTGACAGTGCAAAGCAGGACCCAGCACAAGATGGCTAGTCCTAGTATCTGAAGATGGGACCATGGGACAGTCACTATATAGTGATGGTGGACATTATAGGGAAATGAGAGAGTTTATTTCCTAGCCCAAGGTTCAGTCCCAATCCCAAGCCTTGGTGCTTAGAAAGTCTGGAGTATGAGACAGAGCAAAACCACAGGCACAAGGAGATCACAGGGGGCAATGATGGGGAAGTGGAGACCCAAGGGCATGTAAGAGTCAAGGCAGGAGCCCAGGCTACTAGCACAGTTCTCAAGAAGAATTTATTAGGCTCTCCCACACCCAAAGGAATAAATCTCAGGAGCCATGTTCCCTGTGTGTCTTGCCCAGAGAAACCTGGAAGCTCCGTGCCTGAAGAGCAGCTCCCGAGCACAGCCTGGCAGGGACACAGAGAAGCTGGCTGTCCCAAATGCGATGTTTCCTGTGTCTGCTGCCCTAGGCACTGACTTCTCCCGAGTTGATCTCTTTTCCTCTCAGCCCCTCTGGTGAGTGAGTAGGGCTGCTGGGTACAGCTGGGCCTCTGCAGTCCCTTAGCAGCCCATAATCTTGCCTTATTTTTTGATGGACAAAGAAAAGGATAGAATTGGACTGAAACCAAAATACTTTTCTAGTTAATTTGTACAATAAGCACATCCAAAGCATTTCCTTCTCCTCAGCCTGTCCCCAGGCCACAGGGGCTTGCAGCATCGGTGGTGCCTGCCTCCAGATACAGTTGGCGAGGCATCACCAATGTGATTAAGGGTGCTGTGGCCCCAGGTGTTCGCTCACCCGGGCATGTTTACCATACCTGGTTCATCCTTTGTCCAAAAGCAAAACACAGGCACTCCTGCATGGTCTCCCACAGAAAATCTGGGGCTGCTCAGCCAAGCAAGAGGCAAGCGCCACTCAGACTCCCAGGAGACACTAGGGTTTCAGGGCCTCCCAACACAGCCCCAGCTCTGGCTGCCCCTTTAGTTTCATAAGGGATAGCTCCTAAAGCCCTGTGCTTATGCAGTTCTCTGAGTGCATCTGCTCTTCAGCTCTCTTAAGTTCCAGGACCCTGGCCTTGTCCCCCTTTCACAGCTATGCCCACAGCTGACAGCTTCAGCGTAGAACCAAGGCCCAGAGAAAACAAGGCACACTAACATTCAGTGCCCACCCACATACTCTCCAGCATCCCACTCACCTGTGCGGAGGGGGGCCCTACTGCCATCACTGGGCCGGCTGGAGGTCTTGGAGAGCTTGTTGGCAGACACTTTGTAGAGAACCCCTCCTATGCAGCGATAGCCTTTGTTACGCCACCGAGGGGAAGCAGGTGGGGCTTTTCCGGTCCCACTGACAGTCGGACGAAGGCGGTTCAGCATCATGGACCTACAGAGAAAATAAACCCTTTACCAGATGTGGCCCAGAACAAGCTATAGATTTGCTGGTCAAAAGTACTTGCTGTATGGGATGTATTAGAGCTGAGGTGGCTGGGGTCTCTGGTCCAGCTGCCAAGAGACCTGTGACTGCTTCGCTCTCATAGAGACACTTCTGTACCAGTAGTCAAGGACTTCTGACAAGAATCCCAAGGCACAGCATTATACGAGCTGGCTAAAAAATCATGAGCCCCCGAAGGGTCACACAGAGGAATGGCCTCTTCCAACACATGCTGTCCGTGGAGGCAGTCTCTTAGCCTGGCCACTGGTGAGTATCCCTGTGCTGGGGATGTTCCCTGGGGCTCTCTGGGCACCTATATTTTGAAAAGCAGTGCAGGGCCTTGGCCTTTGGCACCAGTATGTGACACTCACTTGGGTTCCTGCCAAGGCTGATGCAGACTCTGCCCCACAAGAGATGTCAAGGAATCAAGAGGGACTACTGCTTATCATGTCCTTCTCCTGAGAATGTATGAGGGCAGTCTCACAAGCCCACCAGGACCACCATGTAGGACAGAAATTGCTGTTCAAGCCAGGCAGTGGTGGTGCACGCCTTTACACCCAGCACTTGGGAGGCAGAGGCAGATGAATCTCTGAGTTCAAGGCCAGCATGGTCTACAGGGTGAGTTCCAAGACAGTCAGAGCTACACAGAGAAACCCTGTCTCAAACAAATAAGGGGCAAGGGGAGAGAAAAAAATTGCTGTTCAAAATGCAGCTGTAGGATTGGTAGCTTGGAGAACAGACCTGAGCTAGGTCAGTCTTGAACCTCAGAGGCCATCCTATTATTGCTCCTTCAAAGACCTCAGGTCTACCAGACACCCCAGAGCCCCTTGCAACTCACTCAAGCACTAAGCAAGCTGAGGAAGGGCCTTGATGTTGTTATCACTCAGAGAGAAGGCCTCTGTTCTCCATGAATGTGACAGCCCCTGCCTAACTGTGATGCCAACAGGTTGTCCCCAGGGAGGGAACTTGGTGTTCTAGCAGCTAGGTGAGGCCAGGGGGTTCAGCATGCAGCCAATCTTCAAGATACATTTTTGTGGTGTCTTGTTTATGTAAATCAGACACTACTTATCACATGATCACAGCCTGCATGCGCTGCCCTCTAGTGGCACGTGTGAGCAACGGGCACCAGAGAGAGATCAGGCTGAGCACACAGGCCTTCCTAACAGCAGTTCCCACCCCCAGAGAACAGCTAAAATGGAAGGTAAGGGCAGCCTATCCAGCCTGGTACAGGGTAGGAACCTTTCACAGGGTAATCCAACTGTCTCCCATGGCCTGTGGCCTACCTAGCTCCTGAGGGAAGCAAGGTCTGAAGTCTTTGAGGATCTCACAGCTGTAAGAGACCTTCTCTAGCAAACTAGGGCCAAGCAGGTATCCTCAGAGCTGAGCTATAAGGTAAAAGCCAGAGAGGGTTAGCTTGCTTGCCTTGCCAAGACACCTGCTATATTGCCCACCACAGCCTGCTCTGCCCACCCAGGAGGAGCCAACCAGAAAGAAAATCACTAGAGGAGGGGCAGTCATGTACTCAGGCTCAGCTACCATTCTAACATTCAGCACCATAGCCCCCTTTGAGCCTCGGTCTCTCCACTTGCAGGTTGGGATAACTCTTGCCAGCCAGTGGCCTCAGAGGGCTCATTAGTGAGATAATGTGAGCAAAGCGAGTCAGACGTCAGGGGACCAAAGCTGCGGTGTAAGTACAAACAGAGTGGTGGGGAGGCCACAGAAGGCACTTAACCCAGTTTCTCTTAATTAAAATTCAAGTTCACAAACACCAATCTTGGAGGGAAAGAGTCCTGCCAAGAAGCCAGGCTGCAGTGATCCATCTGCCTGGCCTCTCACTGCCCTACCCATCACAGACTTCATCAGCCCTCTACTGGGTACCATCTGGGTTAGAGAGGGGCAGCCTATGAGACTGAGACCTCCAGGATCTAGTCTCTCAGACTTTGTACACTTGGCTTTAACTGTGTATGAGGAAAGGCCCAACCAGGAGAGATCTTCTACTATTCCAGTCCCTTACTTGTCAATCCTACCTGTCATTCTTAGAGGCTCAGTGGTATGTCCTAACCTCTCCATCAGAGCTATGGCCACTTCACAAAAGGATGTTCAACCTAGTCCCAAATCCTCAGTGAAAATAAACGGGTACTAGAACAGTGACTGCTGGAGTTGGTTCAAACTGAGGTTGGCTGGCTCCTCACTATTCATGGGGAAGATATTCCTGCATCCACCACCCTGGGGCTAGAGTAGCATTCTGAGGAAGAGAAGACTGGGAACTGGAGAAATGGAGTACCATTCTGTACAGTGACCTCTCATCTAGCTTCTAGCCACCCTACAACTGAAGCTAAAAGCCAGCTGTGGTCTTAATCAGAAGATCTGATGAGCCCCTTGACTAGGGTCCATCCAGGCTCTCTCTTCATAATACTTCTCCCATGCACTTCATCTCTATCCATCGTATAACCATCTAATACAATATGAGCAAATACACAGCCACCAGAAATATGAGGCTCAGAAGACAAGCACACTCATGCTCAGCTACAGTCTGGGGCCCAGCCCTGTGAGAACACATCTGATGCTCTCCCTCTAGAAGCATCTGTTGGAGGCTGATCTAATGCTAACTACTGGCCCTCAAGATCTGGTTACTGCCCACTGGATACACCCATCTTTGTTTGTGTAAACCTGCCTAAAACATTATACCTGATTGGTTCATTAAATGGTCTATACCTGGGCAGGGCAGAATGGGGTAGGCATGGCTAGGTTCCCAGGCTTCTGAGGACAGGAGAATCACGAGAATCACAGGATATACGGATGGTAGAAGAAGGGTGCCAGAATGGGTTAGTGTGGAGGAAAAAAAAAAAATCATGTGGGCGAGGGGAAAGGCCTCCTCCAGTAATGGCATGGAAAGGCCCAGATGAAGAATAGAAGCAAGTACCAAGGGATTATGTATGAAAGGTAGACCAGTTGATGAGAATTAGAGTGGATGGCATTAGATGGGGACTGGGAGATAGATGGTGAGGATATTGAGACAGTGTAAGTGAAACATCTACCTGGCCCAAGGTAAATGACACAATTATAAATCTAACAAGTGTCTATGTCTTGTTATTTGTGATAGTGGGTTAAATAAAATCTAACAAGTGTCTATGTCTTGTTATTTGTGATAGTGATAATTTTAGGGCTAATAATCAATTATATATATATAATTATATATGTATATGTATGTATGTATGTATGTATATCCCCACACTCTTATTTAGTACAACAGTACAACAGACATCTTCAGGGGCTGTGTAATGCACAGAGAGCTCTGAATGTGATTCCCACCTATTTCTCCCTAGATGTAGCTACAGAAAAGAGCCATAGGTTTAAACAGTGTAAGGCAGCCATAGACCTAGCCAGGTCCAGGCAGAACTGTAGAGTTTCCTTACTTCTTCAAGAAAGAAACCTACTTCCCCTCCCTTATGCTTGAGAGAGTCTTGAGTTGGGGACTGTCAACGGCCTGTGTCAAGGAACCACAAGTCAGGAGCCAGCATGGGGCTCCTGCTGGGCTAGGATGACTCAGCCCAGACCTGGTTCCCACTGCTTTCATCCTAAGATGAACAAGCCATTTTTTCATAATTGGTCTTCAGAGCTGAAAGGCTCATCTGTGGTTACAATTCTTCCCCAAGACAGTCTTAGTTACTCCACCTGTTTATTTTATTTTGGTTTGCTTTTTTAATTATTATTTTTTATATTAATCACAGTTTATTTACTTTGTATCCCAGCTGTAGCCCCCTTCCTCATTCCCTCCCAATCCCACCCACCCTCTCACTATGTAGGCCAAGATGACTTCAAACCAGAGACATTCCTGCCTCAGCCTCTTGAGTGCTGGGATTACAGGTATACACCATAACACCTGGCTTGACATATTTAAATTCTTATGGATGATCAGAAAATATCCATTTGTCCCTTTCTCTTTCTTCCTTAAAATGAAACAGAACAAACAAAAACCCTGCTCAGTAGATGGTGATAATTACTGTGGGCCATCTGTGGAGCCACTTGGACAAGATGCAAAACAGCAGCCCCTCTGTTCCTATTCCAGACTGTGTGTGCAAAGGCCTGTGGATACAGGACCTGCAGGGAATAGGGACAAGTGCTACCTGCTGTTTTGCTCAACCATGAACCTGGGAGCTTTGTGTGGAAAAAGCCACATTTGGGGTGTTAATATGGATGAAAACTCAAGAAGATCTGGCTGGACCCTGGGGCTGAACCAGGTCAAGGCAAAGGCCTTTCCTCTAACCATCCACCCACACCCCTGCCAGCTCACTGGCTTTGGAAGCCGCAGCAGAGGGCACCAGGTGGGGCCTTGTAGCTTTTTACTGCCATGGGTGTCACAGCACTCCAGTAAATTGTTACCCTAATGGAGAGGACAGCCTTTGGAAACGAACTGTACAGAGAAGAGGGGATAAAATTAATGAGATAATAGCAGGGCCAAGGACCCTGCAAGCGCCTGCCCTCACGGCACGGCTCTGTAATTCCTTTTCTGCAACGGGAGCCGCAGATCTAAAGGCTTCTCCCATCCGTCCGGCAGGCCCATGCCGCCAGGAAATTTCATTAACGCTGGAAAATAGGAAAGGTATTAAGCGTGGATAATGAAGGCCAGGGAGGGAACAGTGCCTTAAGATAGTCTTCTTTCTCGCCTTTGTAATGGGAGGCATGAACTTTCCCTTCAAATCCATTTCTAATCCATTTGAAATACTACAGCAAATTATCTTTCCTTCAGCCCGAAAGCGGCCAGCCAATTTACTCCGAATAGAAGTGACAATGCCCCAGGATTTATCACCATAACCTTGACTACACCAGGGTGAGGCTGGGCCTCCCCTCTTACCCTTGGGGGGGCACAAAGGATGGGGCAGGGGGAGATAACATTTTAAATGAAAAGCAGTGATAATGGGGAGAAAGACACACACCTCAAAGGTAGTTCT